TTCTTTTGATATATATTAACAGTTGCAAATCATTTACACTAGTTCACAAAAAATCTGTTTTGTTACAACTTTGCAAAATTTTACCACTTTTCCACTGCTTATATATAGCTGTTTACAAAAGTTGCAAAGTTTTTATGAAAGCGTAAAGCAATTTTAACAGTGTTACAATCAAAAGAAAGGTAATCGGTTTACCTTTCTTTTGATATATATTAACAGTTGCAAATCATTTATGGTGGTTCAGAAAAATTAAGTTTTCTTACAACTTTGCCAAATTTGACAAGTTGGACCTACACTTTGAAGGTGCTCCTGGCGTTGAAGGTGCTGAGGGCGGAAGGTACTCATGGTGCTCCTGGCGATGAAGGAGCTGAGGGTAGAAGGTACTGGTGGTGCTCCTGGCGATGAAGAAGCTGATGGCAGAAGGTTCTAATGGTGCTCCTGGCGATGAAGATGCAAGCGTTGAAGGTGCTGATAGTGAATCTGTAAACAAGCAAAAATATCAATTAAAATTTATAAAGATATAAAAAGTCTCAATACATACCTTAAGAATGTGACTAAGTCACTGCTGTTTTGCAATCTAAAAGAAGAAATTACATTATAATTAAATAAAATTGTTAAATACGTATTCTCACCTTCAAAATTTTCGTAGTGACATTTCTTCACAGTATGTATACTGTCAACTCTGAAGTTTCTAACTTTCTCGCTCTAACGCATAGAATTCTTGTTAGAGTACGAATTCTTATCGGGTATGTAGCTCTAACAAAGGGACATTTTTTGACAGTTCGAACAAAAAATTTGTAAGTGTGTGGGTGAGATGACTAAAAAGTTGTGAATGTGTTTGTAAATCGTTTGCATTTTAGGGGAAAGTGGTGAGCCGTGGCTGGCAGGGTATATATTGCTTGGTAGCGGCACACTATGGGCTAAATCACATTTTTTTTGTTTAAAATCTAATATAACGAGAAGGAAAAGAGCTAGCGCAATAATTTTTATTGGGATACCATCAACCCCTAAATTAGAGGTTGAAACAAGGGGTGAATGGCTAATACCCAGAAAATTCACTGAAAAACAGATGCTAGAAAAGACTGCCGAAAGATTATGCGTAGCTGTTACATCAGATTGGCCCAAAACTGCTATGAAGAGCAGTGAATTTTCTGGGTATTAGCCATTCACCCCTTGTTTCAACCTCTAATTTAGGGGTTGATGGTATCCCAATAAAATACACCTTGCAGAAATAATTTTGGAAATTGTTTTCGCCTCCTATGAAAACACTTTAGAATGTTTTTCAGTGAATTTTCTGGGTATTAGCCATTCACCCCTTATTTCAACCCCTAATTTAGGGGTTGATGGTATCCTAATAAGCTTTTCCTTAATCTATATTAAATTTACTACAATTAAAAAAAAAAATTGTATCGGTATCATGATTTTCCTTTGAGATACAGCAAAAAGAAAAGCAAAAGGACATCGATTTCTAGAATTTTCTTGTTTTCAGCAACTTACCCGTTATTTTAACCTCCAAATGAAGGGTTGATGATATCCCAATAAATCAATCCTTGCAGAAGTAATTATAGGAATCGTTTTCGGCACCTATGAAAACACTTTATAAGGTTTTTCAGTGAATTTTCTGGGTTTTAGCCATTCACCCCTTATTTCAACCCTGAATTTAGGGGTTGATGGTATTCTAATAAGCCTTTTCTTAATGTACATTTCATTTACTACTATTTAAAACAAAAATTGTATCAAAAAGAAAGCAGCAAAAAGAAAATCGAAAGGTCATAAATTTTTTGAACATGGTCAACTTCGCCCCTC